CATCGGTACGCTTATCGTCTGCAGAGCTATCGATGGCATCGCGTTCAGTGCTCCGATGACGTTGGTCGGCGGTACTCTGGCTGATCTGTGGAGGAATGAGGAACGTGGTGTCCCTATGGCTGCCTTCTCCGCCAGCCCTTTCATCGGTCCCGCCATCGGTCCTCTTGTCGGTGGTTATCTCTGCCATGCTGGTTGGAGGTGGCTCTACTGGATCCAGCTGATTCTGGGCTTTGTCGCCTGGGTCCTGATTACCTTCACTGTCCCGGAGACCTATGCCCCAATGATTTTACAGAAGAGAGCAAAGAAATTAAGGAAGACTGAAAACGATCCGAAGTACGTCACGGAGACAGAACTGGACGCTCGGCCCATGGGAGAAAAATTACGCATCTTCCTCTTCCGCCCTTTCCAGCTCCTGTTTTTGGAACCCATTGTTCTGTTCATCTCCATTTATATGTCGGTCCTGTATGGCTTACTATATATGTTCTTCGTCGCGTAAGTTGACACTACCTTCTGAGATTTTTCGAGGACTGGACTGACAGCTCATTCCTAGCTATCCCATTGTTTACCAAAAAGGAAAGGGATGGGGCTCAGGCCCTACTGGTCTGATGTTCATTCCTTTGGCCATTGGTGTCGTGGGTAGCGCTGCCTGTGCTCCTTTTGTCAACAAGCACTATCTTACACTTGTTAAGAAGCACGGTGGACACCCTCCACCTGAAGCGCGTCTGATCCCTATGATGCTTTCATGCTGGTTTATCCCCATCGGCCTCTTTATCTTCGCCTGGACATCATACCCGAACATCCACTGGATTGGCCCTGCCATTGGTGGTTTCCCGGTTGGATTTGGCTTTATCTTCTTGTACAACTCCGCGAACAATTACCTCGGTATGTACTCTCCAATTTCCGCAATGATGGTATAGGACTAACTGCTACTACAGTGGATACATACCAGCATCAGGCAGCCTCTGCTCTTGCCGCAAAGACTTTCCTCCGTTCCATGTGGGGTGCTTCCACAGTATTGTTCACTGAGCAGATGTATGACCGCTTGAACGACCGATGGGCCAGTTCATTGCTAGCCTTCATTGCACTCGCTTGCTGCGCAATCCCCTACGCCTTCTACTTCAAAGGCGCTTCCATCCGTCAGTACTCAAAGTTTGCCTTCGCCGACGATGAGGAGCAGCAGGGATCGGGAGAGAAGCACTAGAGAGGTTCGATGCATGTCTTTCTGCTTAACAGGTTCGGGATTTCGAAAATGCTACTGCATACCCGACACCTTCTTTACTAGTTTCCATTGGGTTTATTGTGCATGTTTTGCTGGGGTTTAATCTTCTTGGTTACGATTCAGGTCATCTGAATGGCATATATAATAGCGGAGTCGTCTGGGATTGATTTCGGAAGCATCGATAGATCATATACCAACTACAATAGAATTAGATTTATAGATGTTATTTCATTCAACTACTTTCTCTCAATTGCTTTCCCTCCAATATGTAACTTATTCGATAAAGGTCTGGGTACATCGCCCATCATTATTTCATGGTTGTGGTCAAGACGTCATATCTTTCCTCTTTTGGAATTAAGATTGGTCTTCCCCGCTCGAATCACGTGCCGTGCAGATTAGTGCTTAGTAACATCGGATACTCCAACTCGGCAGCTCAGGCCGCCCGCACCACAGCTTTCTTCAGATGCGCTGCTACCGTGCAGAATGCTGTGAACTGTGGTTCTGAACACTTGATTCTAGATCTGTACGGAAAGTGATGTATTTCTCTTGACCCGACTTCTTGACGCCGCAAAGTCGTTGATACATCTCGCGCCGCATCCGCTCCTCCGCTTTGCCCATGACCTCCGCGGTTGGCTCAGCCAGATCTCTCCATATAGCCACAGAAACGCACACAGCACTCGGGAATTTCTCGATAGAGACCCGATCTTGATATTTCTAATGGCGTCCCCCTATCAGGGCTCAATGTCGTTTTCACCGTCTGCAGCCGGCTCCGATATGACCGCCGCTACCTCCCGATCTGTATCCGACCTCCCGCAATCCCAAATTGACGCGATTATTCGAACAAAACGAAAGGCGCGCGAGCCCAAAGCCTGTTATCCATGCCATGCACGCAAAGTTAAATGCGATCGCAATCTTCCCTGCGACGGCTGTGTCAAGCGCGACCATCCCGATATCTGCTCGTACGAGCGGCCGTCGAAAAAAAGGATTATAGCGAGCTCAATCCCTCCGTCATACAACGACAGCCCCGCTGGAGCCTCTCAGACCGGTATGGCAGAGCCTACGGTGTCAGCCGCCCAGGAGGAACCTCATCTGCGGATTAAGCAGGAGGCCGGGACAAGTCGGATTAACTCCTTGGGATCCAGGAGCCGTATATCCATTGCGCGGGAGGAGTGGGACAATGTTCGCAATAGACTGAAGGAGATGGAGAAGACTATATCGAACTTGCGAGTTGGGTTGGAACGGGCCGAGGAGAGCCCCGGTGGGATCCTGGAAACGGGCAGTGCGCATAGTGCTGATGGGAGTAATCGGTCCAAGGCTGCTTCCCCAGAACGGGAGGGCATCCATGCCGCGAACACGTTGGGCGAAGGAACTGTACACTTGGGGTCTCGATCTGTCCTTGCATACATTCTCAACAACAAGTCCGGCTCTGATCAGCTCCAAGCTCTCCTTGAGGGTGGGATCCTGCCAAAGTTGGGTCTCGACAATGAGTCCGCCACATATCCGTTCGTTGATCTGTGGTCTTCGGATATGTCAACATTTGACATAAGCGCAGTCTGTAGTGCGCTTCCAAGTGATCAGCAGTGCAAGGAGTTAGTTCTCTACCTTTGAAGATTGTTAGTGGGCCTCGTTGAATGCTAACAGTCTGGCAGATTTTTCTTCTACTATCGGGACATCGCAGGGGCTATTTACCCTGTCATCGAAGATATCCAGCAGTTTGAAATGAATCTCGATCTCTTATTACGGAGTAGAGCATCTATGGGTGGCGTATACCGAACGGACGCAGATCAAGCACAGCGACCTTTTGGCGTGACTATAGCCTACCTGGGTCTGCTCTTTGCCGTACTGGCTTCCGGCTGTCAATCATCCGACTTGCCTGGAAAAGAGAGAGAACTGACTTCTCAAGTCTATGGTATGTTGCCAATCTACATTTGCACGATCACGCTAACCTACTACTCACTGAATCTAGTGTGCTGCTCCTATCAATGTCTCCGGATGACCAATTTCCTATCGCAACCTACCATAGAAGCGATTCAGACTCTGTTGGTGATTGGTAACGTGTTGTCGTACAATATGAACCCTGGTATCTCTTATGTCTTACTTGGTGAGTGAATAAAGGAACTTTCCCGTGGACTCGTTGGCTGACTGGCGTCAGGCATGACGCTTCGTATGGGACTAGCGCTTGGTCTGCATGTAGAATCGAGTCGCTTCTCACTAGAGGAGCGGTACCGTAGACGACATGTTTGGTATAGTCTCACAGCCCTAATCAAGGGTCTTTAACATCGTGCTAATGCTGTTTAGGTGGTCTATGGCATGGCAGGACAGTCATTTCTCTCTCTCTTACGATCGGCCGTCAACCACTGCCGTCAGTCAGCCGGATATCGCGTACCGCGAAGACTCGAAGCCTGGAGAGCTCTCGTACTTTGAAACTCTTTGCCGAATAATCTCTCTGGCCCTCGAGGTCGTACGCTCGCGGATGCTTGGCTCTCACTCGCAAATGAGCTTCAAAACCATACAAACTTACAAGGAAAGGATTCAACAAATCATGATTGAAGCCAAACCGCATTTGCGCGACCGCAAGTACTGCCTTTCATCCACCGAACATTTGGAAAGGGTTGTACTGAAGCTGCATTCTTCCTACTTTTCTTCCGAGCTGCTGCGTCCAGCGCTCAAGTCCCCACCCGACTCGAGCGATCCAACTACCGCCAGCATGCGCGCTGACTGTGTGATGAATTTGATGACGACTGTCGAGGCGTACATTGAGATGCATACAATTAGTTCTCATGCGTCGCGCTCCTGGATCACTTTGCAGCGAGCGATCAGTTCATTGTTCCTTCTAGCTGTCACGGAGGAGTCGAAGACGCACCCTCAGTTTTGGACCCTGTTGCGTCAGCTCAAAAACATCATCGGCGAACGCGCCAACGAAGAAGGGTCCCTCGGACCAGGTCCTGCCACAGCCGGCGGCGCGGCTTATGATACGGTTCCTGGAGCTGTGAATATGACGGGAACTAGTCCTGCTGCTCTTGACCCAACCTCTCCAGAGTCTGCGCCCATACCGCTTGAGGCGCAGACCCAGTGGGCTAAGCCATTAACCAAGACCTACCGTGCTTTGGAAAAGCTAGAAGCTGCGTTCTCTTCCCTAAGCAACCGCGCTGCCGGTCACACTGGCAGCTCAGCATATCGGAACGCCTCAGCGGGTTCAACAACCGCAGCCAATCTTGTTCCTCCTGTAACCGTCGGTGCTATGACACCTAGCATTGGGTCGCTGCCGCCTCCGACGCCTGAGAGTTCCACGAGTGGGGAATGGACCATACCTACTATCCTGGACCGCGCGGCCGAGTACATTCATCCTCCGCTTTGGAGCTGATTCCAATGTTAGAAGCATGATGGCTGTCCTACGCTCCTAAGTCTGTTTTTTGCATTTGATAGGGGTTTATGGGTGGGCACAGGTTCCGGGGTGTCATTGTCTGCTATTTTCAAATCTATCAACTACGATTTGTCTGTTGGGCGTTTGACAGTTGGATTGCTTCCATATTATGGGCCATACTGCCCGAGGGCTTTTCGCGTTTGAGCATTTCGAATCTGCCTTTGAAGTCATATTTCGTTATCAGTCAATATGAGTCTATAATCCACGCCAACTTCATGGTATGACAACACAAGGACGTTGCTTTCATGACTGAAGTACATCCACTGAACCGCTCTTGCTGGCTTCAGTTCACCAACGCACCCACCGAATCCGACGCCCGAGGACGCATTCCCAACCTGCAAGAAGCGCCTCGGCGACTCATCCAAGAACACCAAAGGCACCCTTTCGGCCTGTGTGACATAGCTCCCCTCCGTGGAACCACTTGCCGTCTCCGTGCATATCTCCAGCCCGTAAGTCACATCCCGTGCTGGCTAGATGCGCACCCATCTGTCGACACCTCCAGAACAGATAACGGGCGTGGGACTCGCTCAGCAGCGTCGTGGACGCGCCATGCTCTAGCTCACCCTTCATACTGACGGCGTAGTTGAAATCAACAATGTCCTGGAGGCGTCTCGGCAGGGAGATGCGGGGTTCAGCAAGCGCGTCGACAGTTATGATCAAGGGGGAGATGGTGGTCTCGGAGGCTTTGCCATTGAGCGGGGCCTAGGGTGGCCTTTTATGACCTTGGATGTCGCGGGCTCTTTAACTCGAAGAGGACTATGAGCTATCTCTCTGTCTTGGTATTTAAGAACCGCAGTCGACCCACCGCTCCAGTTGTTCGGAATCACCGGCCTAAATATATGCTCGTCTGCGTCCTTGGCGGGGACCGTTGTGCAGTGGCAGGAATCTCCAAGGAAGATGATGGTGTTGTTGAGGCGTGTTGCACATTGAGGCTGAGGATGTTGAGATGATAATGTCACTCTAAAAGAGAGATTGTTGATGGAGAAGTAGTCATGGTGAAGTCTCTCTGTGTTGATGTTGTAGGAGAAGATATTCTTCAGGGCAACAACCGTCAATTTGAACACATGGAAGTTTCTGGATAGCTCGAATACACCCAGATTGGCCATCCTGTTCCTACTCGGCCCGTCAACAACTGTGGAGAAGGTCCCGTCATGGGGTGTTTCTGTGATTGTAAGGGAGTTGCTGGTCGGATGGTGTGCCTCCTTTTCGTGCACATCCCCTCGCCCACTTTTGTCCCCTCTTCTAATTTAAATTCTCAACTCCATCATTGAAGATGCAATTGATTTCCAAATCCTCACCAGACAATCATAGCCGGTGCAATTGATGTGGCTCTCTACAAGATAGCAAGTGTCCTTGATGAGTCTCTGCATCCTTGTTGTCACAGAACTTGACTCACATGAGCGACGAGACATGCTGGAGAGACTACGCGACACTCAAACAAAATGCACTCGAGTATTTGATCTATAGCAGACTGTACTACTGAGTTCTATGGATGCTTCTAACTTATTTACGGAGAAGTGTTCCTGCGCTTTTGGAGGTATATGCATAGACTGACCTAACGGAAATTGGCGGTACTACAGCCTGACAAGCCAAGCTCAGTACATGCTTGTATTACTACTTATACTCGAAGACTATTGTTATTCTGCCTAATCATCGCGAGTGATGATTATCCTGCGTCTCGTTCCTTGGGATTGACAGACTCATTGGACTGGCCCTGCAGATGTAGTCAGCAGTGTCAGCGTACATCTGGCCGATGAATTCCTTCGCACTCGTACTCCTGCGCTCGATCAAATATCAGACCATACCTTACTTTCTGAGCTCAGCCGGTTCAACAGAGTTTTCTGCATCCGTGGTTGTTATCGCATTATTGACTACTCTCAATTATCAGCATCCTAGTCTGAAACAGGCGACAGATTGACCTTCACTATGTCTTCTACCCCACCGAAGAAGTACTACAAGGTAGCCATTTTACTCTTCGAAGGAGTTGACATCCTTGATTTCACGGCCCCTGTCGAAGTCTTCACTCATACATCCCACAACCGAAACCCGGATAACCCGGACAGGGTTTTCCAGATCAACACCATTGCTCGATCACGATTAGTGAACGCCAAGAAGGCCCTCACGGTCCAGACGGACCTGCTGCTTGAGGACGCAATGCAGGACCTTGCGGATTTCGACATCATGGTTGTCCCTGGTGGGCCACCATCCCTTCTCAATTCGTTGGTCGCGTCCAATCCCCCGGAGGTAGACCTTATTCGCAGCTTTGCCACACTACCTCCGAAGACTCCAGATGAACCGCGTGTGCTTTTTTCAATTTGCACCGGAGCGTTCCTGATTGGAGCGGCTGGACTTATGACCGGAGTTCCAGTCACCACTCACCATCGTGCCATTGAGAGACTTCGGGAGTTCTGCATTCGGGTAAATGGAGAAGGGGCTCCCCCTCCTGAAGTGTCGCACAAGCGCTACATTGACGCAGGAGTTCTAAAAGTTGGATCTGCCAGGCTGCTGACGGCGGCAGGAGTGAGCAGCTGCTTGGATGCATCTTTGTATCTCGTTAGTCAGTTGACCTCTCTTGATATGGCGGCCTTCATCTCGCGCGTGATGGAATATGACTGGAACGGGCAACATTCTGAGTAGAGGGTTTCAGAAGCGGTGATCTAACTTGCTATAAGCTAGCTGAGGGTTCTTTTGGCGAGGGACGAGTTCGATGCGTTCTCGACCCTCCTCTACTGTCAGTGGGAATTCAAATTTTGTTTAGAACCTTCTTTCGGCCTGTTCTGTAGAGTCAGCCTGAGTCACATTTCCTCAGGATCGGCCCTGAATCTTGCTAGAGCCTCTCTGCAATACGACAGTGAGATCGTGTTGTCAAAGACAATATCTTTGCGCATCTGCCATTACAAGTAGACACAGCCTGACGCCCTGGCCAAGGGGCTCGCTCTGGATGTTGTGCCTGTAGAGAACGTGGCGAACGTGTAACCCTACAATCAGTTCCAGCAGTTCCACAATCTGCAGCATAGTTCCCGTCTGCTGACTGGGTCACTTCAGCAGCTGAAGCATTCAATGTGAATCTGGCCTGACTGTGACCAGTCCCCTCAAAGGCGCTCGGCTCCGCCGTGAGACGACCCACAAAGGCATTGGCAACTATGTCGTTTGCACGTTTCGCCAAACTCTGGCTCAGAGCCGAGAATATCTGCCTAAGCATCTGCAGGCCTTGTCATCTCCCAAGGCTCTGTGTCAGCTACCTCGTGTTCTCTCTCAAGGCTTCTATCGGATGAAGGTTCGCTTCACTGCCATGCCCCGGGTACAGAAGGCATGGGATACGGGTCAGCGTCCTTTGATCCTTCTCGCACTGGGATTATTCAGCTATGGACGATGCTGACTGCCAAAACTCAAGCAAAGAGGGTGTGCTTCTATCGTATGAGAGAAATGCCCATTCAGAGAGGCTTGCTTGTTAGTCAACGATGTCACAACGGTTCTGAATCCTCCACTCTTTCGACGTCATTGATGATATAGCTGACGAAGATGTATGTTTCTCACCACGCCTTGCCCCCGTCTCTTCCGTTCTGGAAAGATATAAAGCCTTGCATACCGACGGATTGAGCTAGGCCGAAGTCACCATCGGAAGTAACAACATACCAACTGAGAAACAAACCTCATCAGTCTTTACATAGATTATCATTCTTCGATTCTCGTCCGATATGATCACCGTACTGCAGAACCCACAGGGTGATGTCATCTCATATCCTGTGGAGCCGCAAGAGAATGGCCTACTTGGCTCGTATGGAATAAAAACCGTGAACGTTGAGACGACTGAAGTCGCTGCTTCCTCGTCCGACTCCGAAGTCGCTGAGGATTGCGCTGAGGAGCGCCATCGCCAGGAGTCTTTTCTGCTGCAGCCGTTGAGCGAAGCTGATCGGCACGAGCAAACCGCCGCAAACGGATACACGGAGTCAGAGTTAGACATTCCTCCTGTAACTGGCTACACCCCCGAAAGCAGCGACAATCCGCTTGTTGAAGCAAAGGAGGCAGTCCCTGTCACGTTCAAGCACGAGGGCAAGGAGACCAAGGACGACACCTCGTATCTCCTAGCCGAAGCCCTCGGAACCGCCCACGGAGAGGAGAACCGCAGCATCTCCGAAGACGAGGCAACAGCAATTACAGTCTTGAAAGTCATTGAAAGTTATGGAGTGAATTTTGAAAAGACTGGCGCGTCCTGGCAGGGATTGACCTCGTTCATTCCCACCGTGGTTGAGCAAGTCAAAAAACGCGAACCTGTTCGGATGATCCTCCCGGCTTTCCCTTTCAAGTCCCCCAATGCTCGAGACAAGGTCTTGGGTGTGATGCCAGATCTCGGAGAGGAGCTGGCGTTATATCACTTGAACGCCCTGTGTGACAACATTGGAAGAGTCTACGAGCCGGCTGCAGATGTATACATCAGCTCGGACGGGCTCGTATACAACGGTAAGTCTCCTTGCACCCACTACGGCTTCAACATGCTAACCATACCAGATATCCTGGGAGTACCTGACGAGACTGTCTGGGAATATGGAGAGGCCCTCCGCCGGATGGCCGTTGAGAAGGAGCTTCATCATGTCAAATTTATCCGACTATTTGAGCTTCTCGAGCACCCATGGATCCCTCTGACCAGCGCTGAACAAGCCAAGTCATATTACCTGGCGCATGCCCAATGCCTCCGAAGAGAGTTGATGTACCGATTTGAAGACCGCAGCTTCGACGCTGATACAGCCATCCGCAATGACAATGATACCTGCCTCACATATCGCGGGTACATCAAGTTCCTGACCAAGGACCTCGCCCCGCAAATGGACACGCAGTATACAAGCAAAAAGGCCAGAGCGGCCCATATCGCCCAGATTGCCCGTAGCATGATCGTCCGCGGAAAGATGTTTGCGGCTGCCATCAAGGCCAACCGTGCCGACTACGTCCGTCTCTCCATCCACGAGTCAAACGGAGCAAAGAAGCTGTCCATCTCGCTCGTCCCCCAGGTCCGAGGCGCCCTCGGGTACACACCATGGCATTCCTCCATTGCAGTTGGCGCCGACGGCACGTTCCGCACCGTCCATGCCGAGGATGTGCGTGAGACGCACGACCTAGTCTACAAGAACGGCCAGCCCTACTACTTCCGCGAGAAATCCAAGCTCTTCGACTGGGTCGAGGACGGCCTGCGGGTCAAGTTCGAGCACCTCTACCCATGCGGCCTCGTCATCCGGCCCAGCGACGTCGATGACTCGCGGCCCCCTCCGTCCATCCGCGACCTGCCCATGCACAAAGTCCGCCAGCTCTCGACCGGACTGTCCCCGGTCATCCTGCGCGGCTTCCGCGAAACCCTCGAAGAAGAGCTCTACGTCCAGAAAGCATCCGAGCTCGGCACCATCCTGCCCTGGAGCTTCGGCATCATCCAGAAGGTGCGCGACGCCGGCCGCACCGACAAGCTCGGCAACAACGTCACCTCCAACGAGGCAATGCCGATGCACTACGACGGCATGTTCAAGTTCGAAGAAGAGACGGACCCCGTCACGGGTGAGATCAAGCGCGTCCAGAAGCCACCAGGCTTCCAGTTCTTCACCTGTCCCGCCACCGCGCCCAAGGGGAGCGGGTACACCCTCTTCGCCAGCTCCCGGCTCTTCTTCCGCTACCTGCCTTTGCCGTGGACGGCAGAGCGGCTGCAGACAGTTACCTGGGCCATGGACAACGACGGCTTCTGGGACGCCAAGCTGAAGAATCTGCCCCTGGTCGTGCCGCACCCGGTCACCGGGCTGCCGTGCATGCGCTGGCATCAGCCGTGGGATTCCACCAAGACCAAGTTCTCGACGTGCGCGGTCACGATCGAGAACGAGGAGCAGGGGCTGGTCTCTGTGGTGGACGACCTGACGTATGACTACCGCGTCTGTCTGCGGTTCTCGTGGGAGCAGGGTGATATGCTGGTCAGTGACAACACAGCCATGCTGCATACCCGGACGGGGTACAAGACTGATTGTGATCGGGAGCTATGGAGAATCCACTTTGACTGAGTGTCAGCCGGACTGTTGGAGCTTTGGATCCGTTTTCTACAGTCCATACCTTTCTAGATCACAGAATTATCTTTGTTGATTCTCTTCAATTCATTGCCTTCTCATTGCATCAAGTTCTTACTGTATTAAACAGTCAAGTAGATTGGTCACATTCATTAGGTTACTAAGAATTTGTGGTATAGTCGCAATTACTATGGAGTTGAGTTCGAGTGTCGGATAATTGCATTGTGCATAGGACAGAATACAGAGGATTCTGTTAAACTGTAGAGAAGAAGTGAAAATACAGAATAAGCGTCAAAAAGAAAAAAAAACGTTTTATTTCAAATTCATACACAGAAAGAAGTAAGCGCTCCGATACAGTCATCAGGCGCCAGGGCCTTGTCACACGATGTGTGGTCTATACTACATATCTCATCCGGCCAGATTTTCATAAACAACATCAACATAGACACGAAAAGAAAGATGTTTGAAATATAGGTCATAGCATCATGGACTGAAAATTGTCCAACGAGGGCGACTGTGAAGGATGCAGCGGACAGAATGACGTCGAAGACGGCGTGTTCATCCATTCTCCAAATGTTCCTAGATCAGAAGTTTTGGAACTACGGTCCTGTCTTAGGCAGCGGCATCCTGGATTTTGCAAATTTCCATTCAAAGAGCTTCTGAGGCCTGTGGCGTCAGTCGCGTTTGCTCCTGTGGGTGGTGCCGGGGAGTACCCATGCGGTATCAAGATGATTGCCTTGGGATGCGAGGCTGCATTACCCAATGTTTGCATAATATGCGGCAGGGAGGCCTCTAAAAGCGAAGACACAGTGGTTAGTCAGTTATCTGTTCGTATTGGCACAGTGGTCTCACCTGTTGCTACATAGTAGTGTGGACAATGTGGAGGATGCTGGGAACCTGGAGGGTCAGGATATGGCGGGTAGCTGAATTCACTTGGAGTGTGAAGCCCCGCCATACTCAAAGATGCGTCCAAGCTGAAAGGGTTGAGCTGAGACGAGGAGGGAGGAGAGTTCAAGAGAGTAGAAGGTGATGGGTTGGCAGAGTCAACCCCGTTGGCGAGACCAATGTCAAACGGCAGAGGCGAAAGTTGGGGGGGTAGAGACGACGAACCGGGCACCTGGTTAAGTAGACTACAGCATGAACGACAAAGACTGGAGGAGACGTTCTGTTGGGAGGAATCCGAAACTGCTGGATCTTCCAAAGCAGAAGCCATCGAGCTGTTATCAATGTCACCTTGCGGCTTGGATTCGATCATCGACGCGGCTGAAGGACTCGCTGGATCCCATCCATTCAGCGTTGCAACAGCTCTGAGCTCGCTAGCGATAACACGCTCTTGGAGTTTGGCGATCCTGTCCCGGATCTTGCGGCCTGTTGACGGGTAAGTAAATGATTGAGGAGAAGGGCAATGACATGACACAGGTTCCACTGACGATGATTCCTTTGAGATAGCCGATTTTGAAGTCTCCTGCGTTCAATAGCGTCTTGCTTCTCGTTTGAGGAATCATCTTTGGATTGCTCGTCTTTTGCGGTCAGTGAATGCATCGCTGGCTGATGACGGCCTTTTGATCTTGTATCTTTCGTTTCTTGCCTTCAGAAGGAATCTTTCGAAGGGACAAGTTCCCAGGCAGGATAACATGGAATTGGCCACGAGATTTCTATACAGGCCGACCTGAGTTGAACAGGCACCGCCCTCTAGACCTGCTGCTCAGAATGAGGAGGATTACGCAGGAAGCCTCAGCATTCAGCGACGATCAGCCGCTCTAAGTTTATCATCAAACGGACCAAGGACTTCCCTGCTGTTACTGCATTCATTTATACCTGACTGACAGTTACTTAGCTGACGCACCTATTGAGTTTCCAATACGAGCCGGGATCATGTAGTCCACAAGCCAACACTAGTGGTCTTGGACGTAAGATGCTCCTGGGATTTTGCATGTTATAAAATGTTAAGAGCGATTCATTGGCTCGGTTAGTTTCTCGCAACGGAAAACAGTGGCGGTTCAGGTGAGGTTTGGCATTACCTCATCCGTTTACTGAACGAGTCATATTGACCATATTAATATCAGTTTGGTTTACTTAGGACTAATGCACTGCAGAGCTAATGCACTCAAGGGACCGCAAGGCCACGCGGGTTCGTGTTTCTCTCACGCCAATGCAACGTCGTATATCACAGTCGTGATTGGTGCAATGGCATTGTACCTGTACCCCATAGGGACTATAGATCTGGAGTCTCACGTTAGACCACTGTAAAGTCTCCAAGCAATGACGTCTACGAATGCGTCGCAGGGGTGCGCCGATCGAGCATAGTGGTGGGATTCTCTCGCCTGTGCTTTTGAAGATTGTCGGGAAGTTCTTGCTTCCTCATTTCAATATGGCCGGTTCGAGGCCGCAAATCCGACGAGATAGCGCCCTGCTCGGCGCGGTTCGATTAAAGTCGATGATCCCGTGGTCTTCATTGAGCGATGCATCCTTGAGACGCGTCCACATGACGGTATCACATACAAAGCACACCTGGTAAACCGTCAGATAAGCGTCCTTCAGCTCGCAAGAGGCGGATCATTCGGTAAATACGAAAATTGAAATCCCAAATGTCTGATTTTCTCCGCAAGGTTGCTCGTGTTGCACAGAGAATGGCCGGAGTAACTGATTTGCCTATAAATTACCCCGTATACCCAAGGCTCGGCTCAAAACATATTGGTCAAGCTGGAAAATCCAGATCCATGCCATGGCCAGGCAGCAGTGCCAGAACCGAGAGAACAATCAAAAGTACGAGGCCTTGAACAGCCACAACGGGATGCGCTACAACAGTTTCTGACAGTATTCACCAGCATTCAAGATCAACCAATTACCGCAGGTAGCAGGCAATCTGCCGTCAGCTGAAATCCTGGTGTTCGTTCGTTATTATTTGATGATTTGACCAATTGGTCAGTCGAATACGAGATGCGTCAGAAGGGGGAATCCGAAATCAATGGTCTGAAGCATTAGCCATATTGGTGAAGAAATGCCTCTGAAGAACCCTCTTCCCCCTCGGAGTCCGTTGCATCCCGATAGTAAAGCTGGATGAGATGGCGGGGGATCTGCCCCACCATAGATGCAAGTAATCGGGCGAGGCTTGGACAGGCCAGACTGCAATCGAGCTTGGCAGTGGAACACGAATCTGCGTGAGAGACACTCGTGTCACCAGCTGATGATGAGAAGCGGATACGGATACGTTCAGAGAAGCCAAGTGCTGAAGGAAGAAAAGGAAGGAGGCTGTCTTAGAATCGGATCTCACCTTACTTCTCGTAGCTGCCCTGGGATTCCTTGGTCGTTACTGACAACTTAGAAGTGAATAGTAGATGCTGAGTGATGCGTATGAGATGGACTCAAGGGCAGCAGTAGTATGGACGATAGGATGGGGTGTGTATTTGATGCTGAGACGAGTGCGAAGAGGAGCTGAAACTCCAAGTGACAGGACAAAGGAAAGATGCTTACAGGGGCATTCAGGCAGCCATATTTGCCTGTGGCACCAATCACTTATTTCTAGCTGACTTTCTTACAACCTCAATTCTTGACTTGTTTTCGTCTGCTTTGTTAACCATTAAAGAGTAAGGGTGTTCTTCTAAATATATCGACAGCTGTCCCCAGCCTCTAAACAGTCACTTCATTACCTTCTGTAAACTCTCAGACTACGAGAAGACATGCAGGCAATCTTTGAGACTGTCAGTAATCTGCTCCCATATCATCTGCTCTCATATGGAGCTCTTCTGGGGACAGAACTCTTTCAGGTGAGCAGCGCAATAAATACACCCTCCCGCTCATGAATTCAAATTGACCCCTCGTCCTGGTCAGAGCTTTGTCAACACTAAAGTCTGCTACCAAGCCCTTCCTATGAAAGAGTTCCTCGCTCTCCAGAAACGCATCTTCCCAGCCTACTTTCGCTGTCAGGTGGGATTGGTTGTATTGACTGCGGCTACTCGTCCGCCTTACAGCATACTCTCTTTCTCGCAACATATATGGGACTCTGTTCCTCTAATCGTCGTGGGCGTTACCGGGGCCCTGAATTGGCTCGTTTTTGGTCCACGGGCCACAAAGACAGCTTTCATCAGGAGGGCACTTCACGGTAGGTTTCGAGTTATTATCTGTAGTCTCCCTCGGTGGTAGCTGACTCTGCAAATAGAAAGTGCCATGAATGAAGATAGCCCTAATGCGACGGACCCAGCGAAGCTGCAACAGGCAAACAAAGCATTCTCCCGCAATCACGCCATGTCAATCCATCTGAATGCAATTTCCCTTGTTGCAACCGTTTGGTATGGGTTTTCATTGTCGTCGAGCCTTCTGAAAGGGTTGTGATCCAGTGGCTTCCGTACGACAGGTGATCTCTTCGGTCAGACTGTCTCCTAGCAGGATTGACTTGGCTACGCGAGCGGAATTTCTATTACCTTCTATTACCTTGACCGAAGCATAAAATGCAGCATTCTCAACTCTTACTGTACATGAGGTCTCGATGAGATTGCAATTTCAACGTCAAATGAAGATAACGTAATCATCTAAGCTGACAATCCATTGTGACACTAAATATTGAATCTATCTCGGCCTCAAATAAGTATCATCTAGACGAATCACTCTTGCAGTCGCAGTTCTAGAATAGTTCCCGATTCGGGCCCGCCGTCTGGCGTTTTCCAAATCTTCTCCAACGCCAACTTGGGACTGACCATCTGAAACAAGTGGCGCCACTGCTCTAAAGTCCTCTCCTTTCCATTCATAGCAACAAGCATGTAGAGATCGAGCAGGTTAAAGAACCGGGAGCTTTCCGGACCCAAGAAGCTGGGAACAATCGCATCGTCAATGAGGATCCGCGACTTTCCCGGTTCCATCGCATCCACGATGTTCGACAAGATTTTCGCACAGCGACTATGACCGTTAGCTACAGCCACTTTTCCATCGATTTGCATCAACTAACCTGTCCGCATGATCATGCAGGATGAATCGCAAGAGATAGACATCCGCCCCCTTGACCGGCTGCTCATTGAAGAAATCATGCGGCATGAACTCGATTCGATCTTTGACTGCTTTGGGGACACCTTCTGCCTGACCAGCCTCTAGCATGGACGCGTCGTCCTGCACGACAAAATCCAGGCCAGGGACCTTCTCTGCAATGCGTACGCTGACATGGCCCCGGCCGCCTCCCACATCCACCACCTTGGCGCCCTGCGGGAGAGACTCGAAGGGGAACATATCCTCGGTGAGGGTTTTCATGATCTCGCTGCCTGCCATGCCGAGGGCGAAGCGCTGGCCGCGGGCGATATCCTCGGTGTAGAAGTAGTCGAAAAGGCCCTTGTTTGCTATGAGGGATTAGCACGAGAGCATGACTTTGGGGTATACGTTGTATACTATACTTACTTTTGAAGGCAAGGCTAAAGGCCGAATTTTCTGGATCCTCGCTTCCCTTCCAATCGGTCTTCTTGAGAGACTCGGCGAAATGCGCGGCGATGCGCAGTCCATCGTCACAGCTAGCGGGTTTCAGCTCAGACTTTTAATCTCAACAGACCACAGCTACTCACGCATGACTGATGAGCGCTTGTACAGGAGGCGCAAGGAACTGCAAGGACACCCCATTATGAACGAACTGCTCCGGTGCAATCTCATCGAAGATCAATCTCTGCGTACACACGCGCATAATCCGCTCTAAGGGTCTGTCAGCTTCGACTCTCCACACACTCGACTGCGCGCGCTGCATACTCAGAATATCCTTCGAAGCACCCGTCGCCTCTACAATCTGGTCGAGAGACGTCGGCTCAGGACCAGGGGCAATGATCTCGTGGATCCCCATGTCCAGCACCGCCCCGACGCACGCGGGATCGAGGAACGCCATATTCTGGAACATGAGCCATTGAACCGGACCCTGGACCAGTGCCATGAGCCGTTCGCAGAGACGAAGGATCCTTAACCGGGCCAATTGTGCACCTTCATCTTGGATAATCTCTGGAAATGGGTTGTCTAGGTTGGGTCGTTCGGCACCGATTGTGTCCAGCCTTCCGATGAAGGTTTCTACCGAGCTGGAGATGTTGACGGCGAGCTCGTACAGGTCGCTCGTGCGGTTAGACTTGGGCTCTTGCTGTGTGGACATGGCGTACGATAGGGACTATCGATTTGTTACAATTTCTTGTTGATGGTTCTCTGACTACTAGCACAAAGATATATTGAAGATCCCAAGTTAACTTTCTTATATATCCTGGAGGCATATTGGCTATCCGCAGATTACCTGCAAGCATAGTCAGAGCAGTCATCTTGAACCCCAGCTTTATTCAGACAGTATCTTTATTGTCAGCTCCGTTGCAGTGACACCTACACCCGTTAAGGCTGACTTGGTTGCTTAGTATACGTACACGCCCGCGCTGACACACTGGACCAGCTACAGTCAGCATTTCTCGTGTAACTACTCCGTAGTTACGCATACACTGCTGACATAGGTACATAGGTAATGAATTCATCCGCGAATGACATATCTACGATCCTGATACACACACCACATCGAGTAACAAACTAACAACAATCATCCCGTAGAATCAACTCCACCCGCACATCAAAATCTCGGCGTGTACTGCAGCTCCCTACCACGACCCAGTCAGTAATAGTTACACTCCCCAAACACGCATACACGAAACTCACCTTCGAAACTGCATCGCCCCAGCCGTCAACATCCCACCCACAATCAGCTTTGGTATTCCGGGCGGGAAAATAGCTCGTTCCTTCGGCTCCAACCCCCGAAGAAGATACACAGCCATCCACAGATGCCCATACACCTTGACATCAGCTCTCCGCCGTTCCTCCTGCTTCTTCTCCAGAGCGCGTATTTTCTCCATAGGCACCTTGCGCCCTAGCTGGTTGACGAGCTCCTCTTCGAGATCGTACTGCTTGTCAGTGATATCGTGCAGGTCTGCGAAACCAACTGCTATCTCCGTAGCGAGGAGCTGGTCCTGCTCGGCGGAGAAAGTGGCCAGATGCGCCTCCAGCGCACCGATTTTCTGATACAGGGCATCGTGAGCGTCCTTTTGCGCTAGGAAGCGGGGGTCGTATTCTGCGAACACGGGGAACCAGATCTCGTCAACGGAGGTGAGCTGGTCGCGGAGGACGTGGAGGGTGTATTTGGCGTAGGTGGCGAAGGCGTCAATGTTGGCTGGTTGAACTGAAGGGGCATGTTCTGCGCAGGCCTTGAGGTTGCGGCGGATGACGTTGTGGATGGCGAAGAGGGCTAGGCTGGAGGACACTGTCTTTCACTCAGTAACTTGTTCTGTTAGAGGTAGTCGGGACGTACCGTGGGGATCTTTGAGATCGAGGTCCTCTGCTGAGATATGGTCTCTGTGCATTTGCAGAGATTCGGTGGCCATTGTGCTAGACTTGGGTTTGGTATTGCAGCGATATGTTCTTGCTTAGGGCTTGCGGTTCGTCAGTTCGTCAGTTCGTCGTTCGTCAGCTTCGAGGTCATATATGATTTAGGTAGTCGGTGCAGATGACATCAGCTCGGATTTGCTGACTGGGGATGCATACGCTACTACACTCATCAACTGAGTACGAGCAGCCAGATCCAGATCTAGACTTAGGTCAGGACTCTATTGCCGAATTGCTCTTGTTGCCAAAATTCGTGTCATACAAGAGAGAGCGGGGACCGCCATCACCCATCCATCACACAAGCCATTCTCCAGAAGTGTAAGACATCCAAAGCAAAAAGATGATTCTCTACTATCTCGCCTCGATCCCCCTCACGCTCATCGTCTACCTGGCCTGGTACCTCCACGTGCCCTGGGACCTGCCTCCGCTGCCCAGAATCCCCTTCTATGTCTCCATCCTGGGTCTCTGGAGCTCAATGGGCCAAGACGAGATCTACGAGCGCTGGCTGCGCAAGCCCCTCGAAGCCCACGGCGCCGTAATAATCTGGTTCGCCGGCCGGTGGAGCATCCTCGTCACCCGCCCGGACCTGCTAACAGACATGTTCCGCAACGAGGACCTCTACGCAAAAGCAGGCAGCCAGAAGAAGATCCCGTGGTCGGTGATCGCGACGCTGGTCGGCGACAACATCATCAACTCGCACGGGGACACCTGGAAGCTGTACACGGGGATCATGAAGCCCGGGCTGCAGAAGAAGAACTTTGACACCGCGCCGCTGCTGCTCAAGTCGCGCCGGTTCGTGGATGAGATCCTCGCGGAGCAGGGCGCCGCCCCCGGCTGTGGCACAGGCATTCTGGTGAACACGTATGTCCAGCAGTGGGCGGTCGACGTCATGGGGATGAGCTTTTTGGATCTGGACCTGCGGAGCTTGGAGAAGCCGCACGGTACGGTGCGCCTCGAGGCCATCCAGTCCGTGATCAAGCTGATGCTGTTCCGGCCGCTGTTCTTCAATTTTCCCGACCTGGACCAGTTCGCGTGGCTGATCAAGTCCCGGCAGCGCGCGTACGCGATCATGCACGAGTTCGGGGATACCCTCATGGCGACGGTGCTGGGGCACATCGACCGTGGTCGCGAGCAGGGCATCAAACCCGCGGAGGAGATGGTCGTGCATATGCTTGTCGACGCCTACCGCGACGGCAGACTGACCGAGAAGCAGTTCAAGGATAATCTCAAGATTGTGTTTCTGACGGCGCACGAGAACGCCCAGCAGCTGGTCAACTCGATGTTTTGGGAGATTGGGAAGAATACCGTATAGCCCTTTGCCTTTCTTTACACATCTGCTTTGCTCAACAGCATCTGACATGGTAATACTGAATGAAGGAAGTCCAAACCCGCCTGCGCATGGAAATCCTCTCCACCAACACCACAACCCCAACCTCCGAAGTCGTCAACGCCCTCCCCTATCTCACCTCCGTCGTCTACGAGCTTCTGCGCCTCTACCCCCCCGTCTCCCAGCTCATCAACCGCGTCACAATCCGCCCCGCCATGCTCGGTAACGAGATCCCGATTCCTGCGGGCACCTTTGTCGGCTGGAATGCGTACGGGGTGCATGTCAACCCGGCCATCTGGGGCCCCGACGCGAACGAATTCAAACCGGAGCGGTGGGGCCGCACGGTGGGTGAGATGCATGCGCGGTTTCGCCGGGAGACGGTGCGCGGCACGTATATACCCTTCAATGCGCATTCGAGGAAGTGCCTCGGGCAGGGGTTTGTATTGCTGCAGATGAAGATTCTGTTGTTTGAGGTGGTGAGACGGATCGAGTGGCGGGTGGACCCAGGGTATCGGTTGAAGATGACGCCGGTAAGTCTGTCTTGAATCCACGTCAGACAAGAGGCAGAGTACTGACGCATGACAGGGCGGGATTCTAGCGCCTTTGGGATGCCGGGTGATTCTGAGTGAGGTCAAAGAGAGTGAGACGGAGCAAAGGAGCTGATAGACATAGAACTCAGGTGAAAGCATAGATTAGGTATAAGATAAGAATGATGATATACAAGCATCTGCATACAGCTAGCTGAAACCATGGTATCATAACGCATCAAGTTTTACTTTCGCCCTCACACGCTCTGTCGAGGTCCCGTCAACGCAAACAGCCCCAACGGCTTGGTGCTGAAAGCCCCGTTGTAATTGACTCCTTCCACTTCTGTCTTGAAATTCTTATCCGCCAGCTGAAAGTCCACGTCCTTCATGATCGTGACCAGGATCATAAACGACCATTCCCAGGCGTAGCGCCTGCCAAAACATTCACGCTTGCCGTTGCCAAAGCCCTTCTTCACACCGGACGGAAGCCGGTCGTACTTCTCGCCGACCATGCGCTCGGGCTTGAAGGCATTCGGATCCTCAAAGACCTCCGGGTCGCGGTTAACGGCCGCCAGCAGCGCAATGAGCGGCTGCTTGTTGGGGATCTGGTACTCGCCGCCTGCGAGGAGGACAGGCTCCTCCAGATCTGGAATGGGCTCGATGTTGAAGCCCGGCGCGGTAGCCGACAGGCGCAGCGTTTCACGCAGGATGGCTTCGCAGTACGGCAGGCGGGCGAGATGCTCGTGCTCAAGCTGGGCGGTCGGGCCGCCGACCACGGCATCGATCTCCTCGCGGGCGCGAGCGATTTCGTGTGGGTTCTTCATGAGATAATACAACGCGAAGGAGACGAGATTGGCGGCCGTGGCGCTTCCAATGAAGATGTTGATGATTTCGTCCAGGTGCTGGCTGTCCGTGAGGGCTTTGCCGGTCTGGGGGTCCTTGCCGTGCATAATGGCATGAAGCATGTCCTTCTTCTCGGTCGGAGCAGCGCGACGCTTAGCCACGATCTCGGCGGCGTAGTCGCGCATCGTCTTGATGTAGCTGTCGAAGCGACGCTGGTAGATGAGCCATTTCAATACCTTGGGGCGGGTGGGCCGACGCAAGGCTTCGAACGTGGCAGCCTCCATGGCCTTGAGGACCGAGGGCTCTGGGCCCTCGAGGCAGTGGATCCGCTGGTCAAAGAAGCAGAGCATGTTGGCGGCATGGTTCAGACGGTCCAGATCGTCGCAGACGTTGATGCGCTGCCGGGGGCCCGCAGTCCATTTTTTAACCAGATCTGTGGCGGTCTCACGCATTCCCGCAAAAGCGTCAATCACGGCCTCTGGCGTCACCAAAGGGGCCATGATACGGTGGGCAATCCCCCAGCTTTCCTCACCGGGGTACGCGGTAAACAGACTGTCGTGGACTGCCTCACGGATTTCGACAATGGGGCCAGTCACACATTTTTGAAACCGTCTCTCATCGCAGATCTCCTCAAGCAGTTTTGCGCTGGTGATGAAGACAATATCGTGGCCAAGGATAGTGATTTTGAAAATCGGGTCTATTGGAAAAAAGGGTTAGTACCAAAGGGTTCGTGGTGATTGCTGCCAACTGGCCATCGGTAAATGCACGACAAACACACAGAAATTTTTATTATTCACCGCTAGTTTATTGAAAGAACCCCAAGTATTGCCAGGGCTAATAGAAAGCGCGTTTCCCAGGATCGGGAGACCTGACGGGCGAGGAATCGGAGTCGGCATATTGGTCGTCAGGTGTATCACTTAAAAGCGTCTCCCAAAGACAAGTGAAAAAGGGAAACGTGAACCATGCAGGAAGGGAAAACTGCGACTTAAATTCACTGCACTTTTCCCAGAGGTCGATGACGGCAGATTCCTTTGCACCTGCTAACTAGCTTGTTTGTGTAACTCATCTCCAGCTGAGCTCACCCTGCATAGCTGCATTACAATTTCGGCGCTGATTGGCCTTTGCAGCTGTGAATGCAGATCTGGATCGCGATGATCCTTCGATAGTGGGAGGGTTCTGCCGCTTTGGGGGCCCTTGGAGACTCCACCAGGTCTTCTCCGAAACTCCTACTGGATGGACTGGTCTGCTGCACGGATCATGGTTCGTCACGGGCGCTGGCTCCTCGCTTTTGGAGCAGCCATTCAGAATGGACGGATTGTCATAGCGGACTGGTGTATTTGACAAGTGACACCGAAGAGACAGCGAGGAGAAGCAAGGGGAAAGTCGGGTGGCTGGGCTGTCAGCTTTAGAGCGGTATTTATGGGTTGATAGAACATGGAGATACTTTGATAAGATTATATCCGACAAAATGGAGATTGACACCTTTTGACAGCGATGACTTGATGGATAACCACGGTTCTGTGTGAGATAAAGTCGCCGATGGAGTGCAGGAGGGTCAATGAAGGAACGGGCTGCCGCTACGTGGACCACTAGTCTACCAAGTAATGCCTCAGGTGCATATTTAGCGTGTCCACCACAGCAGACATCTCCATTCTCTGTGTTCTGCAAGAAAAATCGGGGGAAAAGATCTATTTGGTATCGTCAAGAGAAACAAAATTGAAGTCCAATACAGCCAGTGGTTTATTTTCGTACGCCAAAACTCCGTCTCGCTATGTTGCCCAGCTCCGGAAGCACTTCAGTATCCAGAGAACCAAAGGGGATGGTTAATATGAGTTGGCAGCAGTAAAGTCAAACATTCGCTGACTCTCCAACAATACAAATGATTCGTATCGTAGACCTCGTTCAGTCTGGTGCAGGTCGGACCCTTTCGTGATGGTGCTGTTCCACACTCTCTCGTACCCGTCCAAGAGATGACGCCAATAGCACGCCTCGGCAGCTTTGGTCAGGTATCGTTCGCGAAATGTCTTGACGCTATTGTTGGCAATGTGCTGCGCGACGCTGGTGTCCCGCATGAGCGGCTCCAGTTTGGCGGCCAAATCGCTAAAGTCGCGCTCGACTTCCACGTAGTTCTGGTTCGGTCCATCGGCCGCAAGGAGATAATGATGATGCTGTATGTATTGTAGCTTATGCGCCACGATGACGGACTTGCAGGCCTGGCGGTATTTTAAGGAAGCCGAGTATGAGCGCCCTGAAACAGCAATTCAGCTATCATCCAGAGGAAAAAAAAAAAAAAAAAAAAAGAAAAATTCAGTAGACTTACCCTCCACGTGCGCGATAAACATATATTGGCAGTGATCCTCCATACTCAAGACATTGGTCCGATCCGGCCAACTGACTTGCTTGACATCGCCCCAGGGCTGGTCCCGAGCGGCTTCGATCAAGGCCCGTCGCAGCTTGGGGGCAAAACTGGGCTTACCACGCCAAACCAGCTGCTGCTTCTTCGCTTCCCACGGGATATCGGCCCGCTGGATTTTCGCAACCACTTGGTCAAATGGTCCGATCGCATTATCCGGGTTGTCCCAGGCCCAGTAGCCAAAGTCAGGCATCAGCCAAACCGCCTCCTCGTTTGCCGCGCGAGCCAGGACCCAAACCGGATGCTCGGCGCTAGTCACATCCTCCACCTTATCCTCCACCGAGAAGACGAACTCGATGTCGCGACGGGTACTCCGGAGAGAATCGGCGACCAGCGCACGATGGAGAGCACTGAGCACGGCCAGGATCTTTCGTCGGTGGTCCTCACCCTTTGACCGGGCTGCAACCACATACAGCTCCCCGCCGAGAATGGCCGCTCTTGCCATGCCGGGTTGCAGTCTGATCCGATCGAGATCCTCTGCAGCGAGAGCGCCGTGCGAGCGCCAGTACGTCACCGCACGAAAGACGTCTTCGTACAGACCCGGGAAAGCAGCATCGCACTGCTGCCGGTTGAGTCCCTCGTTGTTTCCATCCCGCTCATACTCGAATACCCAATGCGCCGATGGAGCCAAGTGTGTGCTCAGGCCGGGTTTGGAGCATGACAGACAGCTGGCGCATTGGAAGGTGGTCGAGGTCTCGCAGGCGCAGTGACCGGCGGGGATCAATTGCGTGAGGAGGGGGTGTATATGATCTCTGTCTGTATTCATGCCGTACCACATGGCTAAAATAAAGCCCACGCTCAGAGCACCGATGACGTAAAACAGGCAGAGGAGGATGTTCTGTCGCGGACGCAGGAGAGAACAACTCGGGAGCGCCATCGCCGATGGGAGCAGGACAAGGACGATTCAGTTCAGAGGGCGGGTTTCATCGTAGGTTCGTGAGTCGCCAGTCGCAAGTCACAATCGCAGCAGACAGAAGAGGACAAAAAGCGAGGGGAAGGAGTTCCTCAAATGAGGAAAGAGGCAGCACCAAACTCGCTGGAGCTCCTGTCTGGGGCGCATCCATTTGGGGCCAGAAAAAGGAGATTTCCTTCCAACAGCCCCATGGGCCCAGACTAATAACGTTGCTTATTATTAGCGGAGGTCATTGCCATTATTTTGGCCCTATGGGTCTCATAACGCAGCCTCAATGGAGAGTTGGAGACCCTGAGAACTCACTCTCGCGGCTTGGCTTCTTAGGGCGTCTGAAATAGTCTGTAATCCAACTTTGAAACAGCCACCGCAGGCACCAGTACCTAATTTTTTCCCTGAGCGACACTGATGGACAAGCTTTCGTGGGTCATCTATTGCTGGTTATGCCTCTCAGTGGTTGAATGACGACAGTCGACTCCATCCATCCCAAATGTTATTTGCTTCTCGACCATTCAGAGCGTCGCACAGGGGGCCCTAAAGTGAACAAGGTGTGTACGAAAACGCCCAAAGTTAACTAGTTAGTAAGTGTCCACTATCAACTGTCATGGTGGCGGAGTTGTTGGACTCGAGGCTTAGTGATGGGTCCATCTTGCTGAAAAGACAAGGCTGTTTCGCTATGAAGACTAAAGAGGCTGTGTGCAGAAAGCAATTCAAAATTGATCATGTTAGCTCCATATGACCAAATGAAATGGTTCTTGGAATACCATACCATGATAGTCTCCACCTAGAAAGAGAATAGACGACCGCCAAGCTGCAGTGGAGTCAGACTGTTGATCCTCTGCGGTGATCGCAATTTGCTGGTGACATTAAGGCTGGTGTCTAGCAGTTTATGACAAAGATTTGACCTACATCAAGCACTTCAGAACTCTTATCAAAGCGTTAGACTAGACTACATACTTTTCTGAGTAGCTCTCTAATATTGTTGTCATGTTAATTCACAGCAATAGATTGTAGGTAGAAGGGGTAGAGGAAAAGTGCCCGAGAGGCTGAAACTGAAACAATAATGCGGCGGTTGGTCCCGTCTACGGAGTCCCTCGTATATCTAGACTAAAACGCAACTCCTATGTCGGATCCTAACATGGATGATACAGAGGATGTGGGAAATGTACGTATCTCAGGCCTAGGCTGAGAGAGATCAGGAAGGAGTGACGCTGGTCATTATAAATGGTCTCGATGAGACGGCCGCGCATATGACTCCACTGGGGTGGTAATTCTAGAGAGAGAAGATACCAAGATAGAGAGAAGCTGGCATGTACAACCAGCACTACAAAAAAAAAGGAAAAAAGGAGTGTCACGCTAATCTCCATCAAGCAATCTAATGACCAATGGAACCAAAAGGAAACCTTGGGTATATCCATCAAAACGCCCAGTTGCAATGCACCCAAACTCATCCCACCATCTATCAATCATGTTCATGCATGATCTCGAACCGCTCTGGTCCCTCGATGACGAGCTCCCGCCGGCCCAGGGGTCTCAGTGGCCTCAGTGTCAGGACTGAAATCAAGTCGTCGTCTTCCTCGCCCGCCGCGAACACGACTCATTGCATGTCGCAGTAGCCCATCTGCCTCGTCATCGAGCTCCATTTCCACCTTCTGTTCCAATGTCTCCGTTGCAGGGCCCGTGGTCGGGACACCAGATTGAGGGACTTCATCCGTCCATTCTTCCTCCGTCATGCCACGCCGTCTGGATGCCTTTCCCTTGCCCTTGTCGCGCGAACGAGTCGAACTGCGGCTGGTGGTCACTCGCTCGAGATCCTCTGGTGGTGCAGACTCCCCCTCATGACCCTCCAGAGCCCAGATCTCTAAAGCACGGGAGAGAAGAGTGCCAGCAATGCCCGCACCGCCAGCAGCATCACCGCCTCCGCTCGCCCCAAGGACGCGAACGGCTTCATGAAGAGCTGTTACCGCCTCCATTGTCCGTCCAAGTTCCAGCAGAACAAGGCCACGCGAAGTATGAAGTGATCCGATCAAGCCACGGTCTTCGTAGCCCCCAACACCCGACGAGGCGACACCCGAGGCGCTGCTGCCACTGCCGCCCAAAAACGGACCGTAGGCGACACCCGCCCCGCCCCCACCGATCCGAAGGCATTCGTCGAATTCAGCAAGCGCCTCTGTTAGTCGCCCGATACGACGCAGTGCGTGACCCAAATTCGCTCGTGTAGCCACCCAGGCACCCGGCTCACAATGAAGTGCCGTCGCTAAAGCCAGGGATTGATTGAATAGCTCTACAGCGCCCTCGAGATGGTTTTGGTGGTAGAGTACCACACCGAGTTCGTTGAGAACCAGCGGGTCACCGCCATGAGCGTCGCCGGAAGGATTAGCGGGAATGGATGGCACTGTGCCGGCAGCCGCACCCGTGGACATTGCGTAGGCTGCAGACAGGTACTCATGGGCCAAGGACATGTTGTTTAAGGCCAAATGCTGCATACCAAGGAACAGCTGCGGTAAGTGGCTGCCTTGGAACAGCCGAGCGGCCGTGCTGTAAGCGGCTATAGCTTGATCATGCTCTCCTTCAGCCGCAAAAGTATGCGCAAACCCAATCCACGCGGGTGCCGAGTGCGGATCCAGCAAGGATGCTTTGGAGAAGAATCGCCGTGCTTCGGCAATTTTTGACACCGACAGGTAGTAGACGCCAATCGCAAGGTATGTATACGACTCCTCTGGCGCATGGTCGGCCAGCGTGTGGGCGAGTAGGAAGAGCGCATTTGTCGCACCTGTTTCGTATAGACAGGCCAGATGCAAAGGGTAAACCGCCGGAGGGTGCCCGAGATGGCTTAGAGCCGGTACATTAGGTGTGGTCGTCGCCTCCGTGGCCAAGATCGAGGATGTCAGCTCAAGAGCCTCGGCAAACCGGCACTGGGTGTAAAGAGCTTCGGCACGAGAAAGGAGAATATCAGGGTTCTCCGCGAGGTTGTAGTGCGTGGACAGGGTCTCGGTCGCGTCGGACAGGGTGGCGGGCGACGAGTACTTTGACAGTCGGGTTGTGTAGAGCATCTTGGTGAAATGAGCCGCCTCCTGAGCGACAGACGGGTCGGGCGAGGATACCGCATCAAAGTCTAGAGATTCCAAAAACTCGAGCTCTTCTGCTGGCGACATGAGCGAATTCTTCATCAACTGGTCAAAAGCCTCAAAGCACTGCACGTCAATGCGCACTGCGTCCTTGTAACAGTCACGGGCGCGATCAAAGGCATTCTGCTTCGCAAAACAGAGGCCCCGCAGGTAGCACATCGCCGCCTCAAACCGAATGTTATTCGCATCCTCCCTTTCCCTTTCCTCATTGCGATCAATCCGCGATGCTGTAGTCTTACCGTTGCGCAGAGTGAGGTGCTGCAGTTTGCGACGGCTGTTGCTGCTGCGGATGAGATGAGTTGGGTTATGGTCGCCGAGCACTGACAAAGCCTGTTCAAACTGATTCTGTTTTATATAGCAATGGCCGGCGAGATAGCGGCAAGCGGTACTTCGAGAGATGAGATCTTTTCGAGAGAGGAGGGCCAGGGCGCGCGTGTAGTTGTTGTTAGAGAAATGGACTTGGGCGAGCCAGAAAGCATCGGAGTCGCTGTCTTGAGAGCACCGTCAGTCTGTTACGTCTTCTTCTAGGGATCAGTTCGAGTCGACTCACTCGTCAATGCGAGCACTTTGTCGCCGATATAAATGGCAGCATCGTGTTGGCCCCGATTCAGCGCATCCTGGCGCCAGGAGCGCAGGAACTTTTCCATGTCCAAGCAGAGATTGTAGACCAAGAGTCAATCGAGACACGAGAGTACCGAGAACCACCGCAAGGGCAGAAGCACATTGAGGGTGAGCAAGAGCGTTTAGTTGTATTTGGTGGGAGACAGTGGCCAACGCTTGTGGAATCGGACAATTTGCTTTCGAGACCCAGACAAGTTTCTGCAGTTCGAGATAGAGAACCCCTTGCGCTTCAATTAATTTTTAAATGGGAGATAGCAGAAACAATGCGCAGTGCTGACTCCTGGAACAATCTTTGTGCATTGCCATCATCGATTGATCTTCTGTTGATCCAAACGCGTCAAAAATGGCCCGTGCATCCTGCCAGATCGGGTAGTCTGTATCCTTCACAGTTCCAGCTGAGTACAGAATGCGCATGGTACCTTTCTAGCCATGCAATAATCAGAATAACAACGGAGAAGTTCTTTACTTACGAGTAAGGTATGACTGCACTTCCTGCATGCCTGCTCTCTCGGGAGCTCCAGACAGACCAGGTGCGTTCACAATATTATTTGTGCTCATCGATTATTAATCATATCATGTGACTTGTGCATTCCTTATCGCCGCCTTGTCGCCTCCAGCATTTACATCTCTCATCCACCTTCAATATCTCTTGTATTCAAGTCAGCATCTGCCGATCAGCCACCTTGCCTTCTGAGGCTCTTTGACAGTCCCACCCCTCAAAATATCATCTACAACCTCAGTCGCAATATTCAAACTAGCACCACAGCGCAACCATGTCTGAACGAAAAGTACTCAGGTACGTCTAACCCACATCCCAAAAATGAAAGCAGAAACCAGCTAACGTCGCATAGCAAATACTACCCTCCGGACTTCGATCCGTCGGCGATCGGCAGGACGCCAAAGCATCTGAGACCGACCGGTCCCAAGGTCATCACCGTCCGTCTCATGGCGCCCTTCTCCATGAAATGCACTCACTGCGGTACGTCTTCCTCCTATTGCCCTCTCGTATAGCCCCATACTAATCAATCTTCTACAGGTGAATACATCTACAAAGGCCGCAAGTTCAATGCGCGCAAAGAAACCACCGACCAGAAATACCTCAACATCCCCATCTACCGCTTCTACATCCGCTGCACGCGCTGCAGCGGCGAGATCACCTTCCTGACGGACCCCAAGGCAATGGACTACAAGGCGGAAAAGGGCGCAAAGCGCAACTTCGAGCCATGGCGGGACACCAAGAATGATATCGAGGAGACGGAGCAGGAGACGCTGGACCGGCTGGAACGCGAGGAGAACGAGGAGCAGGAGCGGTTGGAGCGGGATAAGATGGCCGAGTTGGAGGAGAAGATGCTCGATTCGAAGCGTGAGATGGCGATCGCGGATGCACTGGATGAGATCCGGACGCGGAATGCCCGGATCGAGCGAACTGAGGCACTCAGTGGTGACGTGGCGTTGACTCATGTTCGGAACGAGGTGGATGAGGAGCGGCTGAGGGAGGAGAAGGAAATTGAGGAGGCTGCCCGGAGGGCATTCACGACGGAGACCGGAGAGAAGGTGAAGAGGCTTGTGGAAGATGATACAATCAGTGGGACGACGCCGAGCTCGAGTCAGACAGAAACACCACCTCCGCCCTCATTCGCTAGGGTTAAGAAGCCCAAAAAGCCTCTGATCAATGGTTTAGGCATCAAGAAGAAGCCCAAGCCGTCTCTGGTATAACTGTGTATATGCGCCGATTTCCTCGGAGGAGCAGTTGAAGGTTGCAGATATTTGGCGTTTCGGTTTACGGGTATGCATATCATGGAATCCTCAGCACAATACCTTGTACATATCAATTATGATACATCTATTTCAATTGAGCCTATGTCAAAACACAGTAAAAGTGGCTGCCAATGCAATGCCCTGTCGAGTTCAAAACCAGTGAAAACTGCAGACAAACATGCGAAAACGGAATGTGATATCATAAGCATATCCTCAAGGAATCAAATGTGTCCCAGGGCGCCACGCTAGAATAAAAACTAGTAGAAAGTCCAAGTCCAAGTATGCCCTTCAACTTTTTCCAAATTCCCGAGACCTCCGCGAACCAGATGCCATCCCCCTCCAACCGAGTCAAACAAACGCCAGGTAAAGAGTACACGATAGAACATGGACGAAGCAGAAACCAGTCGACGTACAACTAGAGGTACGGCATCCAGAGTGCATCACAAGATGCCAAGTGCTGAGGGTTCACAGCCTTGGAGATCAGGTCGATGGTGGTTTGGTTGGCGGGCAAATTGCCCTCTGGCGGACTGGCAAGGCTAACAGCCCGGTTGACAATGATATCGCTATTGTTGTACACCAGGTCACGAAGCTGTTGCACTGGAAGTACACCGCGATGTTGCGCTGTGGCCCAGAACATCATCTCGTCACGAACGAAGATGCTTAGTTGCTGCTCGAGCTCATGACGCGGTTCGGTGAGGCAGCGGGCGATCGCCATCAAAGCACAAGCAAAGAGACCTTCAGTTGCGATCGGTCCCAGCAGTGTCTGGATATTAGGCGTGAAACGGAATGGCACCTGTTCCGGGTTGTAGAAGAAAGCCTTTGCGGGGTTAATCGCTGGTATCAACTCCGTGCCCCAAATGTCACCTGTAGATCTGGAGATCATTATCTTGTTGGGATACCGGTTGCCCATATGCATCACATAGGTCATGAATGCGATAGCCGCGTATTGATAGGAGAATTGACGACGGAAGAGCCAGAAATTTGCAAAGTCGGGATACGTCTTTTGGAAGTAGTCCTTCACAATCGTACTGGGCACCCACTTCTCCTGAATGGCCGTGAGAATCTCGGTCCGAAGAACCTGTTGCTGGTCAGGGGTCCGCTGGGATACGTTAGCTTGCTCCACCATTAAACAATCTGTTTGACGTACATTTTGCTTCGTTTCTGCCAATGATCGCATTTTCTCCATAGTAAACAGAACAGGTTCATCCTTGCTGGTTCCCACTCGGCGGCAGTAGTCTTCGAATATGCCCTGCATAGAAATATATGAAGTATCATCGCGCACCAAGCGAATGTGCGGCGCGAGGGGAACCATGAGCGGGAGATGGAAATAAAGGTTACGGCGCCGGCTTTCCTTGCGTTTGCCAAGAAGCCCGTTGAAGATACGGAAGAGCTGCAGGATGCGCTCTTCTCGTCTACAGTGGCGAGCTGCGGGATGTTGAACAGCGAACGGATGCACGCTACCGTCATGGCCACGAATCTTGAGCCGACGATGACACACACCAATACCCCGGACAAGGTCGATATCTGGCAGGAACCTGTCGATGCGCACGAAATCCTGATTCTTGTCCTTGTGCAGCAGATATTGTCCCGGCACCTCGACTTCATCAAATTTCAGGAAGCGGAACTCGCTCAGATGCGGCGAATAGGTTTCCAAAAATTGGTACTGGCCGCGGCGATCCAGCTTCTCCTCGAACTTGTCACGCCAGCGACGCAGCTTCTGGATGTATTCGTACATGGTTGGCTTCTTGATGACGAAATCGGCTTCAAAAGACTTGCGAATATGGGCGGGGAGAATCGTTTCTGCGAAGCGAGTGATATTGGCCTCAGTGGCGGCAGGTAGTTTAAAGTCTTGGGCGTATGAACCGGGCATGCGACCTACGTAGGCCAAGCCATCGTTAAGCAGGGCGACAATGAGACGATAGGCGTCCTCGTCAGGAGGACACTTGAAGTTCTTGTGAATCTGGTCGACCATTGTCTCCATCGACAGTGCAAGCAACGGGAAGGCAGTCTTGAGGCCGGACATGATTTCGTCCGAATACTCCCATGGTTTCTTAAGTGGCTCCTTTTCTGGCTCTGTTGCAGCAGTCTGGGTCTGCTGCTGCACTCCGTTCTGCCCAGGGACTTGCAAATGAGCCTGTTGTTGATTCTGAGGTTGCATTTGTCCTTGCCCTGAACCTTGGGGTTGTCCAGGAGCTGCACCGGAGGGTTGAGCTTGTCCCTGGGGCTGAGCTTGGCCTTGAGCGGGTGATTGCTGGGACTTGATCTGCCCCTGACCTGGACTCTGGCCTTGGGGCAAACCTTGTTGCTGACCTTGGGCTTGACCTTGAGATGGTTGGCTAACCTGACCCTGAGCAGGAGCATTTGGATTAGCAGGTTGACTACCCTGAGCAGGAGAGCTGTCGGCCGTCGCCGGAGAAGGCTTGGTGAGGGGCGACGCCTGCTGCTGCCTAGCACGATTCAACTTCTCCTGCTTCTGGTCATGCTGTTTCTTGATACTGAGCATGTCCTCCCGGTTCGTACGGAGGAGGAAGAAGAGCGCCTGAGGGTACAATTTCGCTATCTTCACCAAGACAGCCTTGCAAAGGCGTGCTTCGCGGTGTGACAGGCTCGTAAGAAGCTGCGGTATGAAGGTAATCCAGTACCAAACAGGGGTGTCTCCCTTGAAGTTCTCGAAGGCTCCAGCAATTCGTCCCTCTTCATTGTCCAAGCTGAGAAGCCAGAGAATTCGGCTGAGGAGTTTTCTAGACTTCGCATTCTTGTAAAGACCAGCAGCCTCAAGGTAACAACTAACCGCATTGCTGGCCAGTTCATAGTCCGATGGATCGGCCTTGAAGCGTTGATCACTGTACTGGCCCCACTCAGACCAGGCCTTTGCGAGTCTCAAGTCGTAGTACAAAGCGACCCCAAATGCCTCGTTGGCCTCATTGACATGGTTGAGCTTGGCCAGGAACATGCCTTTGAGGGTGTAGAACTCTGCCTTCTGCTGTGCGCCGAAGTAGTTGAGATTTGTGTTGTTGATTACATCCAATCCACTGTTGAGTTCCTTGGGGTTTTGATAATGGCATTTTGCCTGTTCGCGCAACTTCAGGAAAGCCTCTTGAATTTCAATGTTCGGTAGGGTGTAAATCCGGCTGAGCTGGTTGATACAGACTTCGGGCATTTGGTGCTTTCGAGCAACATGAGCGAACCTGTTGATGATCCATGCTGTCTCGTGGTAGCCACGATAGGCGTAGGAATTGCTAGCCACGTTGTTCGTCTGTGGGGGCAGCAGACTTAGGTAAGTCGCGTTGATGAGCTGGAAGATATGCTGGCGCCAGGTGACAAGATCCTGCCAGGCGTTAATATCGTCCCAGAGATTGGGAAGACGGTCTCGCCATGTTCCAAGAAGCAACTTCAACTCAGCGGACTTGGTATCCAGGTTTCTTTCATTGGTTTGGGACAAGCTTGCACAGATATGGCTGGCATCATGAAGCTCGACAAGAAGTTGGAAATGCTGCAATATCGGAATATGGGCATTTGTAATATTCTTCGGCAGCTGGAGCCATTTGCGAATGGATAACTGGATCGACTCATCACACACGCCGTTGAAGTCTTGCAAATTCTCTTTCTTGAGATGGAACTGCAAGAGCGACATAAAAGCTTGGAAGAAAGTCCGCCTGGGCGTGGGCGCATCGGAAACAGATTTGATGAGTGATTCGATCTGCTCCCGATTGCCTTCGCTTTGCCAGTTCTCGATGTTCCTCCAGGCAGCCTCCAAGAGAAGATCATTAAGATTCTCGTGCTTGGCAAAGTCGCTCAGAATCTCCCACTGCTGCAATTTCTGGGCGCAGATCAACCAGTGATCTTCCCATAGGTAGTATTCACCTTGCGAAAATGGCATTGCACCGGACCGTGCCTTGATCTGAGCATTTTCGTAAAGCTGCTGGGCCTTATCCCACATTCCTTGCTGTTCATAAGAGAGGGCAGCGTTGGTTTCAACGAACTTGCATCGACGCCGCCAGGTACCATAGAAGAAGTCATCTTCTTGTAGACCGGCATATACCTCCACCAACGCATCCAGGTTACTCTCACGTACTGTTGGGGTATCAATGATTGGACTGATTGCGGTTTCCTCCAGGTAGCTGGCAGCCGTGTACCACGCGTCATAGGTGCGACTGAGGTACTTCATCACATGAGGAGGGATTTTGAATCGGGGCTTGGACCTGACGGCGCCTTCAAGCAGAGCTTGCACAACATTTGGCCTCTTGTCCAGCTGTCTTTGATGGTATTCGCGCGTGATGAGTGTCACCATGCCCTTCTCCAAGTCGATACGGTCCTCCCTGGACAATGTAGACCAGAAAATCGGGAACAACGTGGTCCACAGACTGTAAGCGACGTTTGGGTCCGTATGCTGGAGTTGGCAGAGCGGCTCCATCAAATCTCTAGTTCTCACGTCGCCAATATCGGCTATAAATCGCTTACGATCGGAGATAAAAGCCTCCAGCTGAACATCGACCATGACATCAGTCTTCCTTGCGTCTTTTTCGGCATTGCTCAGAAGAAAAGACAGAGGATAGACGGTGAAATCGTCAGGGTGAAGTCTAGCCGGTGCTGTCATGTCGACACATCCCAGTATGAGATGGGAGGCTTGAGCGAGCCAGAAAGAGTCCGCGAGAGTGTCCCAGTTCTGGCAGGTAAGGACATAGCTTAGCCGGGAGCTAGCTAGTCGAGTCAGACTCCGATCGAAGATGTTCATGAACCGATTACGCATTTCAACATCCTGCGCTCTAGTGCCAATTAAGAATGCGTGCTCCAGCCTAACTGTGAGCTCGGTGCGTGTGATCTTAGAATCTTCGTAGATCCTGATCACCAAATCCAAGAACTTCTTCAGCATTTTCTGATCCGATCGGGTCTCAAAAAGTAGCATCTTGTGTAAGACTGCAGTCTTCTCCTTCAAGGTCGGCCAAGACTCCGTGGAA